ATGAACAAGATCGAACGACTCCAGTTTCGTAACGGATGTCGGTGGGGTCATACAGTTTTCTTGTAAGGTCCATAGGTAATTTCAAGAATAAAACCTTTCACTAAAATAAAAAAGTAATAATATGGAAATAAATTTTACAACCTAGCTTATTAACAATCTAAAACAGGCAAAATGAAATCAACTAAGATTATTGCTTTGGTGACCATGATATCTTTTCCTAAGACCTTATATTATTATAATATTAAGTGTGCTTCAGTTTCTTGGTTAAATTTTGGGCAGCAAAGAAGAGGAAGAAATGGAGAAACCAAAATCATTTATCCGAACACAACTTTGGTTATTGAAGAAGCTCAGAATGGTCTCATCCACCATCCAGAACAGAATTAAAATCAATGTTTAATAACAAACTAAATGACCATCAGCAGGATTAAAATCAATGATAAGCAGAATCAGATGGTAACATTATTAAAATTTGAAAAATCTATGCACCTGGAAGACCAGTTATAGAATGCAAAGCAGTACTGTTAAAGGTGAAAAGCATGAATATTGGTACCGTCTCTTCCACACTCCTTTTCATGTTGCCTTTCACCATTAGAAGCAATCTTAAAATCAACACCATTAGCATCATCATCAGTGTCCCCTTCTTCAATTGCTTTACCATCATCAGCACAAGCAGGAGCATCTGCAATAAGTAGAGAAACAAAGGAAAGAAAAGAAAAAAAATCAGCTAAGAGTCCATAGAAAGAAGAGATTAAGTATCAGAATCACTCCAGTAATATGAATTCCAGATTGTAATATATAAAGTTTGGTTTATAATTTATTAAATACATATAAGAATCAATTTAGACAATGATGCTACCACTACTGCTTCTGGATAAGGAAATGAATTATTAGAATTCATAATTGAATTATTACATCTTTTGGTGTGCAACTGGCTTTCAACGTTGCAGAATCACAAACCCATAAATTCGCTAATGAACCTGCACACCTCCCAAGTGAATATGCAATATAAGATAAAAGTAAAAACTGAACTTAGAAAATTCTGTAGAACGAGACCATATGTCGTTTTTATAGAAAATCTGACCTATGAATTTGGATCTAGTAACAAGCTTTATTGCACTTGGAGGACTGTTCTTCAACCAAAACAGAACTTATAAGAAACCTGAAAATGATCCTAACTTTTATTAGAAACCTTCACTTGCATAGAACTTTTGGCTTAAGAAACTAAAAAGCATGTTATATTATTATTATTGCGGGTGAATAATAATATTAATTTTGAAGGATAATTTAGGATCAAAACACAGATACAGATAGAAAATGAACACAGCAAAATCAATACTCACTAGTTGGAGTTTATGACACCAAAATCAGAAATGATACTATTTAGGAGTACTTGGAGTTCATCGGAGACTGGAACCCGGGACTCTTCCTGCCAATTGCCGACAGATTGTTTTTCATTTCAATGATTTCACTTCCAACTCAGACAAAAAAAAACTTAGTTTAAATAATATAATTACTGATTATCAAAAATTAAACAACTGAACAAATTTATTAGAACCAAGTACCAAATTCTCAAAAATCTGAACAAAAATAACCATATCCAGAAGGAACACATTTAAGAAGATAAGAAATCTCCGCTAAACAAACAAAGAGCAGCCACCAATGATGCTATAACAGAAACAAGTCATTTCAGAAAATCCGCAGTAGATTTTGGAATTACCAAAATGGAACAAGACATATAATAACAAAACATGTACCTCTACAAGACTTGCATTTTCCTCTTCCCCATTTCATCATACCTACATCATAAATCCCCGGTCAAATGAAACAACTAGGAAAATGATACTGATCAAATCAAAACAAAATTCCTTGAAAAGTTTACAAACCATCATCGGTTGTTCATTTTCAGAATCACTACCAGCATCATTACATCTTTGCTCATTTTAAATACTTTGAAGGTAACCTCATTTCGAAACCCTAAATTTCTAATGACAAGCAACAAAATAACTTCAGTTGGGCTTCTAAGAAAATTAACAACAGTACATGAAAATTTGCGAAGGGTAACAAAATCAAATCTATGCTTCACCTAGAAACCAAATCAATTGAAACTTCCCAGTCCTTCCTCTTGGTTTTTACATATTAATGCTTCCAATCAGAATCTGCCCTGCTTGTTATAATTCAGTCAAGTGTTAGAGACTGAACACTCAAGCCATCTAATCTTTACATTGTCTCTTTTAGGCTACCTTATTTGAGGCATGCAATTCTTACCTCAATCACCATCAGATATGCTAAAGAAGGAAGTAGTTGCACCCAGATCAGGATATGAAGCATGCTACGACAGCAAATGATAGTACTCAATAAAACATCTCTAATAGAGAAAATTAAAGATGCAAATATTTTTTAAAACAAAAAACATCCAGATAATTAAGCTCTTTGAGGGCACAAAAGATTTAAATCTTTACTCACAGCATCCTCCATGGTTGCCTGCCATCCTTGAATGGACAATGGCTTTGAGCTTGATTGAGCCGACTCTATTTTGTTGAATGGTGAAACCACATTTCCTTGAGCATAATTATTCTTGGAAGGTCCTGAGATTCCTATAGCTTTTGGTTGAGCAGCTGCAATGTTTACAGGAGTTCCATCATCATAACTGCAGAAATTGGGGATGAAGGTGGGAAGCTCCAATGCAAAACCACCAGCAAGGATTTTGCTACTCTACGATAGAGGTAGAACCAAGTACCAAAGTCTCAAAAATCTGAACAAAAATATGATATTGTTACTCTTTTTGTCTCTGAAATCTCTTGTATATTCATAAGGGAAGTTATTTACAAAGCTGTTCCAAACTGCATCCTAGCAAAGGAAGGTGGAAATCTGGAATCAAATAGCCTACTTCGGAGTTTGAATTTCTCATTAAAACACAGATATTGTGTGGCACTCCTCCACCATCCATTGCACAATAGAATGTGGTAAATAACCAGAAATCAATGATAATAACAAATTGAATCAATGATAAGTAGAATCAGACAGTGAAATGATTAAATTTGATAGATCTATGCACCTAGAAGACCAGTTATATAATGCAAAGTGGTACTCTCCAAAAGGTAGGAAGCATGGATATTGGTTTAACTTCTCTCCCACACTACTTTTCCTGTTGCCCTTCACCATTGGAAGCTATCTTAAAACTAAGACCATGAGCATCATCATTAATGCCCCCTTCTTCAATAGCTTCACCATCATTAGCACAAATAGGTGCATCTGCAAGAAGTAAATAAACAAAAGAAAGAAAGGATAAAATTAGCTAAGATTCCATAGAAATAAGAGATTAAGTATCAGAATCACTCTGGTAATGTGAATTCCAGATATTAAGTTTGGTTTATAATCCATTAAATGCGAATAAGAATTAATCAATTTGGGCAATGATGCTCTACTTGTACTGATTATGGTTAAGGAATGAATTATTGGAACTCAGAATTGAATTATTACATCTTCTGGTGTGCAACTGGATTTCAACTTGGTAATGAACCTGCACCTTCCATCTGAATATGCAAATATCAGATAAAAGTAAAAATTGAACTTAGAAAAATTGTTCAGAATGAGACCATATGCAATATAAGATAAAAGAAACTACAAAGCATGTTATATTATTATGGTTGCAGGTGAATCATAATATTAATTTTGATGGTTAATTTAGGATTGAAATACAGATACAAACAGAAAATGAACACAGCAAAATCAATACTCACTACTTGGAGTTTATGACACCAAATCCTGTGCAAAAATCCGAAATGATACTACTTGGGGGCACTTGGGAGTTCATCGGAGACTGGAGCCTGGGACTCTTCCTGCCAATTGCCCAACCGATTGTGCCAAAATTGGGAGTTGCAATAATACTGAAATTGAAATCCTACATGTTTTCAATTATTTCAATGATTTTACTACCAACTCAGACAAAAAAAGAAAAAAGAAAAAAGAAGAAGTTAATTTAAATATTCTAATTACTAATTATCACAAATTAAACAACTTAATAAATTTATTAGAACCAACTACCCAATTCTCAAAAATCTAAACAAAAATAACCATACCCAGAAGGAACCCATCTAAGAAAATAAGAAATCCCTAAACAAACAAAGACCAGCCACCAAAAATCTTGGCAGAAACAAATCATTTCAGAAAATCTGCAGTAGATTTTGGAATTAACAAAATGGAATAAGAAATATAAAAAGGAGTTAAAATCATAATAATTCATACAATAGATAAAAGAGATTTGATTCCATATATAGTACCCA